CCCATGATATTACAGAGAAACTATTCCAGTCATGTTTAAGAGAGTTTTTAACTGTTCAGTGAGACAGTGATTTGGTTTTATATCTCCAGCAAAAAGGCCAAACTTCTTAATTACCATCAATCCAATGCGAACTTGTAAGGTGACCTAAAAGTGGCTTCTCTGGGCATGTAGAAACCAGTATTTTGGAACTGGTTTAAGCTTGTGCTGTTCATCCCGCTGGGAGGAGGAGAGTTCCTGTTCAAACAATGTTAAATTCTCAGTTTCTGGCCTGGAGGGATGCTGTCACAGGTGCAGGAGTGCCTATTGCCTATTTGCGGCCTGAGCTGTACTTTCAGAGCCAAATTGCACAGTTGAGGAAAAGAAGGAAACCTGCCTGAGATAGGTTAATTTATTTTATAAAAGGGCACTGAAGTAGCTCATTAATGTGGCATGTTAAAAGCACTCCTAGCAGAGGAGAATTAGTAGCCAGAGTGCTGTCAATGTTATGAAATAAATAATGTATATTCAATCAATTCAAGTAAGAGAAATATAACCTCTACCATGTTGCACTTCATGTGTACAAGGTCCGTTGTCATCCTCCAAATGGTTGTTCAAAGGCATATTCCCATATGTGTACAGAATGGCTATAGCTGAGCAGTTATTTATTACAATGTCGTGTAACTGGCCCAGAAGTCCTCTGTGGAAGCACATGAAAAATACTGTTACCCTTGTTGTAACTCCTAAAATGCAGGTTTCTGACAGGAAAAAGTTTGGGGTGAGAGAAGAGAGAGACCAGAAAAACAAAAAAGACAACAAAAAAAATCCAAGCCAAAACAAAGCAGTGGAGAAGGGCTGATTGAGCCATCTGGTGATGACGGAAATCATTGCGCAACTTCACTCAGAACTTGATTAAGACTAGGTCATTCTGGCAGTAATTTTCTAGACTGTCTTTTCTGAGCTGATTCCTTTTTTGAAGGAACATGATAACGCGAGATGGTGGTGACATGCTGTTTCCTGCTCTAGTTGAACTTCTTCATTCGTCATTGAAAAACAAATGCAGTTGGACATGTGCTGGGCTTGCTATCTCCATTTCCTCCATGATGGCTAGCTCTTTGCTAAGTTTTTTATTTAGCCTGTTACTTGACTCTCACTCTGAAGTGGAACCACACTTGGGTTCAGAGCCCCATCAGGATGACAGAAGGGCTCCCATCTTCCTGGTGTATTCAAAGTATTGAAAAGGTAGTGAGGTTGTATTACTTAAATTGTAAAGATTGTGGTTGAATCTGAGAGGACGCCAGTGTATCAGGAGTTGCAGTTAACAGGGAGTCTGTCAAGAGGTGTAGGCGGTTTTCTTGTAAAGCCAGATAGAGTTCGTACTGGTGTGAATTTTAGTGATATGGTAGGATCTTGTGTCCATATTAGTCCCGTAACAACAAGGGCTGTGCTCTGGACTGAGGCCTTTGGAAATGTTGAGATATAAATAGTCAGATTCCCACCCTGAAGTCCGTGGTGGCTGAAGAGAAGACTCTGCCTTCCTAGTGTAGTATCTTTGATTAAGAGCATTAGCAGCCTCTTGGAAACTATAATCAGATGTCTTTGGCTGATTTTTTCCAAGAGCTGGAGATACTTGTTGCACGCAGAAGTCCATCAGGACTGTGATTCACACATTATATGGGCAGCATGAGGACTGCAGCTTACTGGATAGTTTTCAAAGAAAGATTTTTTTCATTGAATTTCATTTCACTGGAATTTGTCTGCTTGTCCAATCCCAAAAATTTCAGGAGGGGGCTGTGTTGATTTCATGGACAATCTGCTAGAAACCCAGCAGATTGCTGGCACTCAGTCCTGCCTGTCAAGTATCTGGGTGCCAGTAGCCCGCAGTTACCCTAAAAGGGGGCTGCCCTTGGCTCTGCTGTCTCCAAGTAGACCCTGAGCCCTGTCAGCCAAACCTCCAGCAACCTGAATGCCCTCCAGGCTCCTGAACTCTCCTTGAAAATAAAGCAATGCACGAATGGATATGATACTCTAGGACATCAAGACCACCCTAATTTTCATGTACAGTCGTATCTCTTCTTCCATAATAATCAAGCCCTACCTACAGCTAGGTACCTTTCTGGTACCTGATACTCCTATTTAGAGAAGTTAAACAGATGGAAGCCTTCAAGTGCCCTCTTGCAAAGCAGACTTGCCATTTCTTTGATTAGCTCTATTCTGTACTTGTGGAATTTGATCTTTACATTTCTGAAAATGCCTGATGAGAACTGTACAGAGTGTTCCAGGCGAGGTCTCTCTGGGGCTGTGTAGAATTAGCAT